CTTTAACAATTTCCTACTAAATTAAAAGTTATAGCATGAAAACTATAACAAGCACAAAATTGTTACAAGGTCTGTTTCAGGGACCGAGCCTGTGATGAAAGAGTTAATGAAGAAAATATAAAGATTTTTCATGTGTTTAACAAAAACTTCCACAAAGTAACAGAAAATAGAAGCATCCAAAAAATTTGACACATTTGTTGAGCATCTAAAAAATTTCTCCCTGACAAAAAATGTTTCAGTTTAGATCAAGAGAAGCCTGACTGAAACCTGTGCTTCCCTTAAGACTGAACTTTGTTGTAACCACTGATGAAGTTCCAGTCTTAGATTAATGAGAAACATGGCTGACAGAACTAGAATGACTACATCTCCCATTTAACTATGTATATTTCAATTCCTCCAACTAGTTTTAACAGAATTTTGTATTTTTTTGGTCTGCCTAAATGTGTAATAGGTTGTTTGTAATAGAAAAGTTTGTTAGTATGCGTGGTCTTAGATTACATGGTCTATTCTTTGCATCAGTTTGTTACATTGTAAAATGCAGTATTTATAATCATGACCATCAGATAAAGCACTATTATTTATGGAGGAAAATATCTCCAACATCAGAATTGGACCTTGGATTTTGTTCTTATAAACTGTAGTTGACTTTAATATGCAAGCCATGATTTGAGAACAGTAGATGTTTTTTGATACTTGTTTGAGAAACTGTAAAATAAAACATTTTGCAGAGTTAACTATTTAAAGTGTAGTGTGTTGGCTTTAATAGTTTTACCACACACACTGTTCAAACTTTTGAAAGCAATTTTCAAGTCATGTTTTATGTAGGAATGGAAACTTAAATGTACTGTGAGCTTGCAATTTGGCAAATGTGCATGTATAATATATAAAAAAACTTTTATCTTTCTCAAAGTAGCCAGAAAACTTGATTTTGTAATGTATTTCATATCACGCAAATGTGATTGTTTCCTTACAATCTCGTGGAAGCTAAATGTTTAAGTGTGCAATAGATCTTTTGGTGAAATTTAGTTTGATACTATTACCTGATGATGACAAAACCTTGTCAAAACATTGTCCATTTGCTGTTATGTTAAACTTATATTAAAGTTTTTCTTCATTACCCATTCAAGCTATCTCCAAGCATTACTATTTTGCACTGTAAGCTTAGTATATAGATTTAAGAACACAAATCTCCTAAGTTGACCAAGACCTCACGAGATATTATTGGGATTATGGCAAATAATATTGCTAATAATGAGGTTACCCAGATGATGAAATAGTGCTTTCTAATCCTTAGAACAGTATACCTGTATTCATTACTGGGTTGATTTCTAGTTCTGAGCTGTGTAGGTAGATTTCTTTGATCAAAAGTTGATGCTAATTGCATGGTCATGTTGGAAATGACTGAAGTTAAAATAATTTTTTTTTTCTTGTTGTGTATCTTTGTTAAAGTATTTTTACTCAAAGCACCAAATATTTTGTTTAGTTTCCTGTTTGTGTATTAAAGATCAGGATTATAAAATAAAAACAAAGCTTGAGTAGTTTTGCAGTTTTTGTAATGCTTATAATGGTTCCAAACCATTTGTGGTTCAAGAATTTGGTTACATTCCCATTGCCACGAAACTTGCTTGCCCTATCTTTGTTATCGCAAAGCTACTCAGACTATCTGCCACTTTTATTAATTTTGGATTGCTGACTATAGGGAAAGGTAACTGGCTGGCAGTACTTCCACATCTGCATGTAATTTTTTTTTCTTTGAGCTGCTGACTAGGCAGAAAGCAACTGACTTGTACCACACACCACCAACTTTCTTCTTTTTGAACTGTTGACTAGAGGCAATTGTCTGTTAGCATCTGCTGGAAACATTGTTTTTTTGCATGATATGAGGAACACTATTAATAGATTACTCGTATGTAATCAACAAATGGGGCCATCAATTAAGCGATTAGCAAATAACACTAATCACTGTTTTAATTTTCAGTACCAAACATGTTGATGTGCAGTTTCCATAGTATGTAAAATATAAGTTTGGTGTTTATAAGGAATGTATATACATATATAAATACTTCTGTAAAGTAATGTTTCTTACCATGCAGGTTTGTTTTCTTTCCATAATTACAGATTAATCATTTCTAATTCTTATGTTTTTGTTTATTTCTAACAGGACTAAAGTTATTCTTCATGTAGTTGAAGTGTTGTGTGTACTGTCTGATTCTGTCATTGTATCAGCCCATGTCTCTCATCCTAAACTGCTCAACCACTTTCAGCGCTTTCCAATAGAGCGGGAAAAGTTTGAGGCCTTAAAACAAAAGTTGGTGCTTTTAACCTGTGGTGAGCAATAGCATTAAAGGCTTGATTGTCTGGGAAAGTGAAATTGAAACTAAAAAAATTAAGACGTTTACAGATGAGTGTTAAAAATCAAGAATACTTAGAATTGAGTTATTTTAAAAAATGATAAAACATTTTCTTTCTACTGTTTTTCTTCAAATGTTCAAATAACTGCAAGATGCTGGAACCATAATGGTAAGAAGTATTTTGTACTTAATGTTTTCTTTATTTATCCCATTTGCTTCTAGTTTAGACAAAGATATCATTTATCTAACCTTCCAGTGTTTGTAAGAAACAGTAGTTAATGCTTCATAATTTTCATTTTAGATGTATTATCATTTAAAACATTGGGTTTCCACTTTCCAACCTTTAAGCAATTTGTACAGTTTTAGTATTATTTATTCTAAACTGATGAATAGTTTCATAATAAAATTGCAATTTCATGTCTCTGAGGAAAATTTATTATCAATTTAATAATTGCTATTACAAAAGTAGTAAACTTATAAATGATAATGCTACCACTTAAAGTTTTACTGATATGTTGTCACAACTATTTTTATTCAACTGTAAATTTGAAGCATTTAGTGATACAGATTTGTCTTTGCCTCCTAATCTTTTATAACCATCTTTTTATTTAATGTAGTATTGCCTTTTTCCTCTTGTGTAGCAGTTTTGAAAAAAAGATCTATGACAAAATCTGTAGGCATGTTTATTGTTTTAATAAGCTGTTCTGTAGAAACCATACTGCATTTGATATTACTTTTAATGTTTTATACTGAGCAGTTAGCTTAGTAAATGAACATACTTTGTACACTGAGAAAAAAAAAGTGTGTATTTTTCATTCAAACTACATATGAGAGAAGAAAGCAATTGATTACCTTTATGTTAGTATGAAAAACTAAAAGCTGTGGCTACACTGTGGTATGTATGGGATGGTAAATACACTTTTCTTTAGTTAGAATCTAGAGTCTGCTTTTAAAGAAGGGGTAGACAAAGACAGAAATTATAGTTTGCTGTTTGTTGAAATAACATTGTAGCTAACCAAATAAATATTGCTTGACTATGTTATTCAGAGTTACCACTATTATGAACAGTTTAAACATTTGTTCTGACAAAATACTTAATCCTCTGTTCTAAGTATTTTAAATAATGAATTTTTGTAATTTTTCATTTATGTAATTTTTTGGTGTGTTATGAAAAAAGTCATTCAATTTGTTTATGGGATACTGGTTTAGGTCAGCTGTTAATCAATGTATGTGAATAAGACCATAGGTCAGTGGTCAAAGTCCCTCTAGGCATACATTTGCTTTAGCCTGTTGTATAAGGGACATGTATGTATTCCTATTTAGTTTGTGTATTGTTTGTTTGAACAATAAGATTTTTATTTTTGCATTTCTAAATTATGGTAAGGAAACTTGTTTAAATAAAGTTCATGCTGACTGCTTAAAAACCACAATAAAATTTAGGATTAAAGAAAAAGAATTACATTAACATGTTTTTTGAACATATAAAAGTGACTGAACATGTTGCCATATTGTTTATTATTTTTATATAGATGTAAATCAAATACGAAAAAAATGGAGGTAGGTTTTTTTTTTTTAATAGAAGACATAATACCTTAGCATATTCAATCAGGAGATACTGTTTGTTTATTTATATATAATTAGAGCAATAAGCTGTTGCTCTTTCATACTTAGTGTCCCAATGATAACTTGCAATTTTTACATTTCAGTGTCAGTTTTAAACTCCTTGGTAGTTCAAAATCGAGAAATAAAATTGCATGTTCAGATACTTGGTTGTTTTGGTTTATTTATTTTTAATCTTTAAAAACCAATTAATTAAACACATTTATGGAGGACACAATGTATTCTTATATCCCCACTTTTTTAACTAAAAAGAAATAGAAACTTGTGCATTTCCTTAATGTGTATTAAAACTGCTGATTTAGTTATTGCATGTTTATCATTCCTTTTAATATTATTTTATTAGAAGTTATTACAAAGTTTTGATAAACTTAACTGCCCATCTAGTTTTACCTTACTCATCCCTTTCTTTGATTTTATGCTTGAAAATGTGACATTTCGGTTTTGTAGAATTCCGTTTCCTCTCTGTGGTACTAGGTAAAATGCCAGTTGTTATATGACTTTGTTTCTGAAGAAGGACAATACAATTTCATTAGTCTTTCACACTTTATAAAAATATTGAGAAAATGGAAACTATATTCACTCTGTTTTATTATTATTTTTAACAATATTTTCTCGATTTTATTGTGGACTTTGGTATCCAAATTATGCTTCTTGAAGAACAGTGGATTTTAACATATTTTTCTAAATTATAGTGCTAACATTCAAACACATACACATATTAACTTTCTGTGCAAATGTATTGTGTATTCACAAAAAATATTTCATCTTACTAAACTTGAAAGTCTCCTAGCCTGTCCTAAGGAGAAAAAAATAAATATTTATATACCATATGATAGTTAACCATATTTAATAGCTGAACCTACAGTCAAGGTATTGATATTCATGTGGATGCTAACCTTTTTCAATATTTTCCTGTCTTACATTCACTGTGAAAGTTTTTGATGAATAATAGGTGCATTCTAGTCAAATTCAATCACACGGTAATAATGTAATGGTTACTGTTAATAGTACATAATTTTTAAGATATTTAAACAATGGATCTTGAAAAGGAACAAACACCACTAATCAAATTTCAGCCTGTTATTTTTAATTTTATATAGTTTTTCATGGTAGTTCTTTTTCCATATTTTAATTGTATTCAAAATGCTGTATCCTCTGTCATACTGTATAATCTATGCTCATTGTCTTTTCTATACCAAAATTGTGTGTACTTTACATTTTTCACATGCATTAGTGGCTATAGGGAAGCTTGTAACCTACTTTGAATCTCTTGGGAGGATGTTCTTGTACATGTATATTTAGCTAATTACCTTTTCATGCTATAACTACCTGGCTAATCTGGTAGCACTACCATATGTTCATTGATATTCTAGAATGTACCTTGGCACCAAGAAATTACATGGTCTTGTTGAATCTGGGCATAGTTTCGTTTTGAACCTTTTTGTTTCTATTATCAATTGAAGACTTATTCAGAAGTTTTAATATTTTGGATATTCACAACCATTTACATTATAGTTAACAGACACTTTACAGTTTTAATTAACTTAACATCAAGTAACATTAGTGACTATGAATATTTATGCGAATGAGCTTTAATCATTGTAATAAGAGTGTCTTAGCTATTTGAGTGTGTGCATTTCTTTGTACAGAAGTTTTGTTGTGACTATTTTCAGGCTTAGAAAGTCAGTGATGAATTATTTAGGGCTTTTCAAGTACTTGGATATCACTTGCTCAGGTGGATTATTAGTAAAACAATAAATTGATGGTTTTTATTATTGTATTTCAATTAATCTGCAATCTAGGGATTTTTACAGTTTGATTAAAGAAGAGATTGTATTCAGTTTGGACTCTCCTTTGTAATTCTGTTGTGATTCCCATCAAATTTTCACAGATTGTCAGGGCCTGTTAATTTAAATGTATTTATCTTTATTTGAATCACTGGATGGCAGCTTTTTGAATTCATAAATTTTCTGGATTACAATTGCTCTTCTGTTTCCAATGTAAGGTCACTGAAGAGTAACAGGTCTTTACAAGAGGGTGATTAATGGCTCATTTCTATTTTTTTAAAACCCTATTTACTTATATGTACTTTTGACAGTTTGTCCTTAGCAGCAAGTGAAATTTTTTTTCTGGTTCTACAGAACAACAGCTAAAGTATTCATATTGATTTCTGGACTGAATGTATTTGGTGATGTCCTATTTGGTTTCAGATCATGGGGGATTTGCAGTATCTTTTTATCACATGTGACATCTGTGTCATTCATTTTCAAAAATGTGCATTTTATATTTTGGGGAGTTGAGTGGTCTACTTTGAAACTATTTCCTCTTCTACACTGATGGTAATTCACAGGAATAATTGGAGACTCGGGTGTAGCATGACTTGTGGATCACTTCACTCAGAGAAGATGACCATGCCAGACATTCGGTTGTGAGGGTTGGCTTATTATAAATCTTCCTCTCAATATTAGTCATGTGACAAGTCATACTTGTTGAAGCTTCACTGTGCTGAACTGGAAGATTACAGTAGTTTCTGACTTTCTGTTCAGTACAAATTTTTTACTAAATGTAAAGTGGAACAAAAGGAAGGCTAAAATAAAAATATTAAATCAATTTAACTCTTGGTGTTTTGTGTTTTTCATAAATAGCTAACACACCATATCAAGAATGAGTAGTAATTACTTAGATAAATTAGATAAAATGACTTCTTTATATCTATAAAGAACAACGTTGATACTTTTATGCCCCAGTGCATAATTCTTTTGTATTCCAACAAAATTCTGACTACTGTACTTTTTATTAAAGCTTGTAGCTGTGAATTGTAAAGTTAGTTAGGATTTATTTTGCTTGTATATTTAAAATGGTTACTATCCATACATGTTGGTGTATTTCTTAAAGGTTGTTTTTGGGGGTTATGCATCATATTTATAAGAAAGGGCAAGTGCAAAAAGATCAGTAGGAAATTCAGTGGTATCAAACAGAACCCATAAAATCATTTATACTTCGTTGACTGGGCATATATGGTAGTTGTCAATTATTATGTTATGTGCTCTATATAAGTGATGAATTATTAATTATGATGTTCAAGGTGGAAAGCTTCGTGATGTGACTTTTTTAGAATTTTCTACACAGGATTCAGAACCAATAAGATAGTTACATAATGTTGCAGCTCTCTCCTTTTTTGCTAGAGATAAATCTACCAGAATACCTTTTACTTGTCACAAAAACAAAAGCCTGAACATTGTGTTACATTAGTTAAGATTTCAGCTACGTAGACCTGTGATAAATGGAAGACTAGGTTGGACATCATATATTGTCTGGGATTTACTGTGAAAGATGCTAAAAAGGAAGCTTGAGACAGAGCTCTTTAATAAAACTTTGAAATTCTACAAAATTAATTTTTGTAATACTTTACTCAATTCGCATTGCTATTCAACCACACAAAACCGAATATTTGGCCACTAAGGAATGTTCTTTCTAAAATTCTTTTAAAACTAAAAACCATCTCTGCTGTGAAAGCATGCTAGTCTGCATGTTTATCCCCATGATAACAGCAGAACTACTTTATAATACCCCCTCCTTCAAAATTTTGAATTACTGGTGCATGTTTTTGCACTTAACAGAATTCTCAGAACTCAACAAACATTGAACACGTAAATAAAATTTTAGAGAATTACATATTCAAAAACAAAACGTATTTAGACATGCTTATTGCATGTACATTGTATTAAAAATGTATAAATGTAACAATTTTATTTGCACAAAATGACAAACAATACTCTGAAAATTGGCTTTTAAAAGTTTTGCGGTAGAAAGAGATTTATGTTAAATTTTAACTACATGTACAAACATACTAGAAGCAGTGGAAGACCCATCCAGGCCAGCGGACTTGAAGATTGGAAGGTCACTTGTAGCAGGTCGTCAAGTAGTACCTATAACAGTGGCCAATTTCTCTAAATGTAAGCAGATACTTAGGGAAGGGGCATTGTTGGGTGTGTGCCAGGAGGTAGAGCCAGTCAATGTTAAAGCAAGGAATACAACTGTAAAGAAAGGACA